TATATTTTGACCATTTTTATTTTTTTCTTTGTTTTTTCCCAAAAAAAAACATGCATTTAAGTCAGCAAAAAATGTCGGCAAATGTAAATCTATAGTATATAGTATATAGAAATTAATACTTGATACACAAATATCATGACAGCAGTGTGAGTATCTGCTACTTTTAGATCAAACAAAACTTATTAATATTGGTAAAACGTTGTTTTCAACTGTAATCTGCATTGTAATAATAAACTATTGGTTCTTGTGAGATATTTATCCATTATTCACTCTTGATATTCAGCCATTTTTAAAATATAAATCTATTTTATTATAAGTCACTTTCATGAAATAAAAAGCAAATTAATAAAACCATGAATACCTGAAAAAATGTAAAATATGGGCAAAGGAATATTCTTAGTTAAAAGAACTAGGAAGACATATTAATTCAATTTGCAACTGTAGAAGAAATAATCCAGCATGATTTTCACCAATGTTGATCCAAACCACTTTTTTTTGAAAAAACTTAATTTAAAGTAAAAACAAAAGTTTACTTAAAGCAAAATACATAGGGGAAGAGCTGCATTATGTTTTAACTAAAAGTTTCTTAGAAACTCGGTAGATACAAAACTTATAACATAAAAATGCATTTTATGACTAACATCATTTTCATCCAAATAAATAGTTATCTAACTTGTATGAAAGGAGTTGAGGATCTAGTAATAAAATACGAAAAGCTGCAAAACCTTAAAATAGATTGACACTAGAAATTGAGAAACTTTGATGTAATCTAAAAAAGTATTTTTTTAAAGACATAACATAAAAACCATGTTTGATAAAAATAGCAACAAATAGAACAAACAAAGCTAAAGAAATTAAATGTGTCATCATTATGTTCTTGAAAATGCTAAAAAAATGATGCTGTTAAATATGATGTAATCAATGATTTCCAAAAAGAAAAACAATGTAAAATACTTACTAAAGATATTCTAGATAAACAGCACTAACGAATATGGGAGAAGGGCTTAATATTATATTATATAATTAAAGTATATAATATGTCTTTCTAAAGACATATTATCCACTTTAACAAGGTATACCTAGAAAGTAAAATGTCTGGTTCAGACAACTCTTTAAAAATCTGAAAATAGTCTTGAATAATCTTGAAATAGACAAAGTTTCATTAAATAGGATTCAAATTCCAATAGGAACAAGGAAAATTACTACAAAGCTATATTTGACAATAGGATTTACAAAAAGGTTAAGTGCAACTGCAATGTCTGAAGTAGCTGGTTAAAAATAATGGAAACAATCTGTTTTATTAAGAAGATATATAAAACAAAATTTTTGGATGATAATTTAAGAAAAGAATATTTGAACTATCTACAAAGAAACTAACTGATGATAATTTCTAATCCTTCACATCTTGCAAGATTAATGCCAAAATTTTAAAACTCAAAAATATTATTGAGTTCACAATAATCACAATAATACTGTAATTAGCAATAATTCATAAAAAATTAAAAAATAAAAAGCTGTAATAACAAACACAATCAAACTCCTAATTTCAACAAAATGTAATAATAAAAAGACTGTAATAAAAATGATAAAAAGAGTGCCTAAAACATTATGCACAGGGACTTCAACTTTAACAAAATTTAATGATAAATAAAAAACAACACACAGTGATGTTTTGTTCCTTGTAAATTTACTGTACCTTCTTTAAGATTATTTGAATTCCAGTTTAGTTCCCAGATCTCAGAACAATTTTGTTTTAGTTAAAGTTCTTGTTCTGAAATTATAAATTTGTTCTAAATTTTAGCTTTAGTTTTTACATAGCTCCTGATTTTGTTTTCTCTTTATACCAGCGCAAAAAATGTATGCAGAATTAAAAATCTTTTAAAAAACAAAAAGAATGTTTATGCTTAAAAAAAAAAATTATTTTTTCACTATTTTATTATAGATATGTAAAAACTTGTACATTTTATTTACTACTGTTATTTAGGTCCTTGTCAAAAATAAGAGTTATAAAGTTGCATCTTTTATCCTATTAAAGTTGCATCTTTTATTCTGCTTTACAAAATTATCACTTGTCATCTATGCATAATACATAAAATTATCATGGCAATTAAAAATTGAACAAATCTAAGTGCAGTGTTGTTCTTTTACTATTCTTTAGTGTAAAACTAGTGCTTTATACTCTACATATGTACCAGAGTTAGCAGTATACAACACAATCCTGCAGGTTTATGTTTGTGTTAACAGTTACACAACTAATTGCAAAACAATTTTATGCAATGTAAACTAATTTTTTCAAGTTTGAGAATGATTAATGTGTTCTCTTTCTTCTTCTTTTTTTTCTTTCTGCAACTATAAAAAGATTAATTCCCATAATTTTATACCACAGAGCTCTAAATGCAGATTTTTTAAAAAAAATCCTTAACTTTAAAATCTGAATTTGTCACTAGTAGCATTACTCAAGGGTCAGCTTTTGTTCCAACACTATTTACAATTTCTATTAATGATTTAACAGATTAAATTAGTAGCAAAATGTATGCAGCTAATGTAAGATCATTAGCAATACTAAAATAAACTTTCTCTGAAAGCTGACATTGTAAAATTGCTATTTGTGTCAAAGTATGGCTAATGAAAATTAATATCAAGATATGCAAACAAATGTGTGTTACTAATCCATATGCCTTCCAATATCAGTGCTGTGTGTACTTACTTGGAAAAAAATATTTTGTAAACAAAAGAGTTGAACATCAACGTGTAAAAAAAGTACATCAAGAAAAAAAGCCTTTTGATTATAAATGAGATGTGCTAAGCTTAACCTTATTCAACTACGCAAATAATGATAAGGTATCTTATTCAAAAAATGAAATTTTAGAATAAAAAAGTTTAATTAACTGGTATATTGATACAAATAACATGTCTTCAGCTATGGGCATTTGATATCATTATGAAGTTCATAACAACTGTGATTTTTGTATAATTTTTTAACCAGTTTTGCAGCTAATACATGTAATCAATAGTGCAGCTAATACATAGAATGCTCTTTTTATGGCATTTATGGCAAGGCAATGCCATAATTGCCACCTCAGTCAACAATATCATAGCAAAGTAAGACCAGCATCTAATTAGCAATTACAGCACATCATTTAAAATGGCTGCTTCATTGGTGCTATATAAATTGGTTTCATTAGTTAACAATTATGGTTCATTTATTGATCTGCATATTAATTGATATACTATGATAACTACTACCACGACTTTATACTTTTTTAATTTTGCTGAATTTCAATTTTTATGTTTTATTAATAAACTTATAGTTGCATAATTTATTTTTTACCTTGACCATGTTTGAACAAAAAAAAACTGATTAAAGTTTCAAGTTTAAAAATTTATAAAACTTTTTTAAATGCAATTGCATTATATTATAAATGCAATGCAATATATTGTATCTTCTGTAAAAAAAGAGTTATGTGTCATGTTGTAGTATAAATATAATTATAACCTTTGCTGAAAGAGACATTTTGAGATGCAACTTGCCATTAGCTTTTTTCTTCTCAGATTGAGGTTCTAACTGAAACCATGAATCAAGACCTTCTTCTGGTAAACTCTAAAAAACAAATTGTATTCATTCAATAACAACAAATATTTACAGTTGAAAAGTAAGAATATAATGCAACAATAGAAATAAGTAAAACCTTCAGGGGAATTTCAACTAATCCCATGAAATCATCCAAAAAAGAATCAGGTGACCTAGCAGACTGATACATTTCTCTAAGAAACCTAAACACAAAATTTAGGATTTAGCAAAGTAGAACACTGTCATAAATCTACTTTAAGAAATAGAAACATTTATATAATTTCTCCTAGCTTAATTAAAAAAAAAAATTATATCTACTCCAAAAGTAAGTAACCATAGTAACCTTTCAAAAAATTATTCTCATTTAAACAAATTATTAACTCTTTAGATAGACTTCGAACAGATAAAATAAAATTAAAATATTGAAGTTCTCAAACTAAAGGTAGATGGAAAAAATCCCCCAGAAATAAATCCACCTTGATTTATTTTTTACAGCACATAAAATAACAGTTGTTTACAATATAAACATTTTATGCATACATATTATAATACAAACAGAATCTTAATCCTTCATTTTTCATAAATCGACTGACAAATAGGTAGAATATGCAAGAAGTGTACATACGACTGACAATGTTTTTAATTTCTTTTACTAATTTTGTACATGCATTTTATATCTTAGCACAGATAGCCGCTTGCATTGGCTGATGGTAGAATATATAACTACATAACTACACAATATATATAACTACACAAAATTTACCAGAGTAAATATAGAATTATAATTAAGTTTTTTTAATAAATTGCATAATTTTTTAACAACTTTTTGTATACCTTCCTGCCCCTTTGACACCTTTAATAGCGGTTATAGCATTATTAGAATCCCAAACAACTGTATTGTCATCTTTGTCCCTAAAATTTATTTTAAAAATTCAATTAAAGTGACAAAAAGCCAAATAACAAAAGCTTAATAAGAAACATATTTTACCAGATATCCACCCTAAGAACTTGATTTTTGACATCGTTGACCACACTAAAGAATAAATTTAACAAATACAAATAAATAAAATAAAACAATTATAATATTGATTTGTAGTAATAAAAGCTTACAACTTAAAATGTTGATTCCATTCAGGATGCAACGTTTTTAATTTTATCTTTGTTAACTTTATATCTTCTTCCTTTTGGAAATCACGCAAAACTTTTTTTTTTTTTTTACTTTTATCCTTAACATCTCCTTCACCAATGTCAATTACAGATATCATGCAGTATGGATCACTAAATCCTTTTTAAAAAAAGAGTAAAACATTTTTTTTAAATAAAAATAATATAAAGATTATAATGTAAATACTTTACTAAATATTTTATTATAATTTTAAAATTCTATAATATATTACACTTTTTTAATTTAATTGTAAATTACTGTTTT